TTTGGACAGGAATAATTAATACAATTACAAACATACTTAGTCAGTATGCACATAGTAATAATAATAATAATAATAATGTTATGTATTCCTTAAAACAGAATTGATAAATAATATTACTGCTACTGTTTTATATTATATATATAATTAATTTAGTTAATTAATCTGTACAAAAAGAGTTCAATGAAAGTGCGTGAGTGGGTGCATGTGTGACAGAAGAATAAAAACTGAAAAAAGAAAGGATCATCACATTGAAATTAAACATACACACACACACACACACAAATACGCGCAGTCATTCATTCACATTATTATAATTTGTTAATAAATCATCTCCAGTGCATAAAACACACACATACACACACACAAAACTTATCGTTCTATGATGATTTAACTCTTTTTTCATCAACAAAATCAAAGTTATATAATAATAGTATTAATAATAATAATAATAATGGTAAAATTGTTGGATTTTACTCCACAAGGAAGAGAGAGAGAAAAAATATAAAACGGAACAAAATCTAGTGTGAACACACACACACACGCACACACATAGAAGAGTGCCAGCTATCTTTAATGTATATAAGACAGAAGGAGGAAAAAGAATCATACTCTACTACCACTACTATTATTACTAATGCTAAAATTGGACAGTGACAAACAACAACAACAATAAGAACAAAAAGAAAGGATGATGTAATTAACGTAGCTAACTAGGCAGTTTACAAGAGTATTTCACACAATTTGAAACAAAATTAGCCCACTGTCTGTCTGTCTTATCCTCCTCTTCTTCTGCTTCTTCTTTATAGTCATGTTTATAAAAACAATGAAGGAATAAATAAACAAATAAATAAGTGAAAGCGATCAAGTGATACACACACACACATATGTGGGAGCCAACCTCCACTACTAGCCCTTCCTCCCCCCCCCCGCGCCACCTCACCCTCGGCAGAAAGGAGGCACAAACATCCACACACACACACACACATACATACACCTATAGTAAATTAATTCAGAAATACTTTTCAAGACGAAGAAACAACATTCAACCTAAAGAGAAGGAAAAACAAAAAAAAAGTAGAAAGAAAGGGAAATTATTATTATTCAAAATACAAAACGGCGCGAATACAGTAATAATAAAATTATCAGGCGCTAGACCCTTCACCTAACTGAATAAACAATAGAGTACTAAACACAGTCCTAGTTTTGATCATCATCAACACCATCAAAAGAAATATTAACTGTGTTGGACCAGAAAAAGCACTAATACACACGCGCACGCACACACACTGAACTAAACAAACTAAATTCAGTGAATTTAAATGAAACCTCTGGAAATGAAAGAAGCATCAGTTTAAGTGAAATACAGGCAGGCACACACACACATACATACACAAAATGCTGCTAACAAACACACACACACACGAGGGGAAAGTGAATTTATAATAATGTTGATGACGTAGAATATAAGTGAGGCGATAAAAATAACAGAGACAAAGGTGGTCTGGTGGAACAATAATAATGGTGGACAAAAATTAACCTCCACCTCCTCCTCCCATTTTACACACACACACACCAGCTCACTTACACATCCATCCATCCATACACATACATAGAACACACACTTCCACTATGTGTACACAGGCAGCAGCAGCATGTGATTGTCTGAAACCTCAAAACTGTACTATTACTACATTAAAAGTTGTTATGCAACAGGATAACAATAATAATAATTTCTGTTATTTTGTTTGTTCGATTGCAAAAATAATTTTGTATATTAGTGAAGAATGAAAGAAGTATATATATATTATATTATGTTGACTTAAGAAACTGTTGTTGTTGTTGTTTTTTCTCTTTGTTTTAATATGAGAGCACCAAAAGGCAACCAAATATTATTAAGGTTAGTAAAAGTTCAAGCTTGTGTACAAAAAGAGTGCAAAGAGTGTAAAGGACCACAGAGTAAAACGTAATAACACAATGGAGATTTCAAGAATCAGCTAATCATCAAGTATTATTAACACAGAGGGGTTAAAGATACCCAAATATGTGACAGAGAAAGAAAGAAGTAGTAGTGGTACGGCAAGGAGGTTGGAACAAATAAAGGAAAGATAAAACACACACACACACACACCGTATATGTGTTTACTCCAATATTTGAAGTCTAATCGAATAGGATAATAGCAAGAATAAAATCAATATTATTATTATTAATTCGTTTTGTTTGAAATTGTATATATATTTTTTTAATGGTATGAAAGCAGAGCGGTAGCGAGCATAGACCAAATATCTCAATGATATTTTCCTCCCTAGCTGTTTATAAGGATGATTGATGTCAAAGCTCCATATCTCTAGCCATATCGTCTGTATAATCTGACATAGAACTTTCGCCATCTGAGGAACTAGACTCGGCATCTCCATTCTCTTCAGCTTTTAACGCTTCTTCACTTGCAAAACGTTGAACATATTCTAATTTAAAGGTGGGAACAAAAATTGTTAAAGTAGTGAAACAAAGCCTAAGACAAAATAAACTAGTCAGCATTAACATACACAATTACAAACTCCTTAAGTGTGAAACGAAAAATCCAGTAATCAGTGTCATATTTCCATCTTGCTGAATATAGAATGACTTTTTGTGAGAATACTGACTTCTTGAGTCAAACAATGCAGATATTAGGTATTAAAAAAAAGAAGAGTTTTACAACAACAACACTCCTGGTGAAAACCAAGTCTATTGGCATTAAATGCGAGATCATCAGATGTGTCACTAATTTTACTGGCTGAGAAAACTCCATACAGAACCTTTAAGAATACGAAGTGTATATCGACAATAATCCATTAGGTAAACATTAACATTCAAGTAGAAGGTTGAACAACTCAATAACAATTAAATTCAGATAACACCCTCACTCATAAGTATATGTATTTACAAAAAAGAACCCATTGGAAAACTAATCTATCAGTATAATCAACATAAACCAATGGGAAATCTGTTTTCCCTGGAAATTTATCCTCTCACTTGATATATTCATTATTTTTGTTATCTAGAGAGAATGTGCCATCAATTTCGGTAAATTCAAACTTGGAAAATCTGCTAGTTGAATGCTTTATTTGTAAGCTAAGAGATATGCGCTCGTAAGCATGATTCCCATTTTAGCAGATGACTGTTTTGGAGCGTTGGTGCTGCAAATATACGATGCTCGACAAGCATGCATGCGGCTCAGGTTTGATTCACGGTTGACTCCTTCCTAGAAGTCATTTGACTAGTGTAAAGGGAGAGAAGGCTAGACGTGAGACTATCATTCCATCCTGTAAGGAACACTTTAATGAGTGAACTTGAAGCCCTGTGTTTTACACGGATCTCAAAAGAATGAAAAATGTTTCTAGGGAAAATAATTAATTACACCTGAGCTTCTCTAAAAGATTAAACGATAGACCGTGTGATTGATTAGACGGCACTGTGGTTAGGACTCTCACCGACCATGAACATGGTTCGGGGTTTGATCATCTGCCGACGCACACCTGATATCTATGATCGGCCTGCGACATTTGGGCTACCGATATCACATGCTGAAAATTCCATGCCTGTACCAAAAACTACGGCGTGGAATCAAGCTGAAATCAAAATAAAATAAAAAAACACATTTGCTCTGTGACCAAAGCTCAGTGAAGATTAAGAGAAGGATTCGAAGTGTCAACTTTTATACACACTTAGAATTTACCTTTAAGGACTTATGCATTTTAATATAATGTATTTAGATATGCTCATTTATTGAAGAAGTTCACAATCAAATGTGTGAACGAAGTGAAATTCAGTAATTCTATGGAACACTACCAAACATATCCTGTAAAGTGCTATTATTTTTAGTTCAATATAGGACAATTATCTAGAGTTCGTTTTCACCAAAAATAAATGATTCATGTAGTAAACTTGAGGTACACCACTAAAGTTGACTACTGAAGAACCACTAGAAATATCCTTTAGGTTTCTATTTCTCGACTGGCTTAAACAGACAATTTTCAGTCGATGGGTCCCTGGTCAGAAATCCTACTCCGCCTGCTTTAGCCTGCGTGACTGAGTCTCAACATAAAGCTTTGGCACAGAAGCGCAGCAGTTCACATTGCCATACTTCATGTGGCACACAAAGTTAGAGAAAAAAATATTCAAAACTATAACGAGCAGAAATGTCCAGGAAAATGAATACTGAAGACCACAGAATGATTGTATATGTCACTGGAAGTGATTTTGAATTATATTATCAAAAGTACCCACTTATTGGGGTTCTTAGCCGCTTGGTGACCCAGACTGAGCAGTCTATAGCTGCCTATGTGGCTCAAACCAACTGTCCAGGACTTCATGAACTGATGTTAGTTATTGGTTCGGCTACTCGTAACTCTTTTTCAACCGAACTACCGTGTCACCTGACAGTGCTTGTCGAGGAAGGCACTAGCTCGGCATGAGAAAAACACGTGTCTTAGCCGTTTTAACTGGTTGGGTAGTTTATCAGTCCTGGTACATGAAAAACAGACTTTGAGTTAGTGAGTACTACTAAAAGATTTTTGTTGTACCAATACACTTGAAAGGTAAAGTCATATGGTGCAACTCTTACAACTTGCATACTTGACCTTAAAAGCAAAAAAATAATCAACCTTTTGTATTGAATTGAATTTTCGATTTTCCCGTCGATTGATTGGACCGAAGTGCTCGGTCTCAGGTTGACATGTCGGCTTCTTGTGCAGATGCTTCGATGATGTCCGGGCATTTAGTTAGTATACAATTGGTGGATGGTGGCTAGCAGTGGAATCCAGGATGCGCATTTCGTCCTATTTGGGACTCGTCAATCGGTCCAATCAATCGACGGGAAAATCGAAAATTCAATTCAATAATTAATATGACCCGTTGCACAAGAGGTGGCTCTCGTGGCCCAAGTGGTCTAGTGGATAACGCTTTGGCGTTTGAAACTATGGGTACTGGGTTCGAGCCTCGGTGGGAACATCATCACTCACTGAGAAATGCAGGTACATCCAGCTGACGAGTCCCAAATAGGGCGAAATGCGCATCCTGGATTCCACTGCTAGCCACTATCCACCAATTGTAAACCTTTTGTATTGTTCAGGATACAGTGTGTTTATTAAAATAAGAAAATGTAGGTGAATATCAACCTATGTTTCGGCCTTTCGAATGTTCCGAGAATTAGTTCTTTTGTTCTCTTTGTGTGTACAATAGTTATCCACTGAATGGAAGAGAAATACTCTGCGCGGATCTTCGAATTATCAAAAACTGTAATTTAATGCCTCAAAATACCAATCCTAAATATATATATGTGTAGCAATGGGCTACAGATACTATGTGAGGGCCATTGACACTACTTGGCTGCCCAAATCTCGAACCACAGTGACCGGTAGATAGGAAGTCGAGCCCTCGTAACAGCTAGCCAGAGGTTCGATCTAAATGTACGAGACATCTAGAATGAGTTAAAGGGACAGTGAGTAATAACGAGCTCTGCAGGAAAAATGAGATGTCTTTCGAAATTAGGGAAGACGTGGACTATCACCATAGTGAAGAAATTAGGAAATACACGACATCGGAGCGTCAACGTCAGTTGTCGAGTTGAGATTCGTAAGTTAGGTGGGCGTTTTTATTGTTGCGTTGTGTGAGCTGGACGGTTACGATCGCGAAGCATTCACTATTGCTCTAGATGCACTTGGAAGAAATTTAATATAAAGCTATAGTGGGTGAAAACTACAAACACCAAATGTCGAACTACATTCATCTCCCTTACTTTTATAAATTCTAATCATACCTTATTTTTAGACAACTATATAGATATTAGTAACAGTTGTTAAAATACCTTGAAGTTTACTAATAAGGATATATTTTAAATGTTAATTCCATTTTGAATATAACTTTCATTGAAAATCGACAGCGCCAATATGTGACGTGTTTGCTAAACCCTATGAACCTGAGCTATGATCACTCTGATTTCTGCCTGCTGGATATTTAGGTAGGAACTTTAGCAGCTTAGACTACCATATATGTTAAAGACGTCTGTGTATATCGACTGAGACGAACTTTACAGTCAAAGTCTAAAAAGCACATAAAACCAGGATACCACTTCACTAGAGTACGTGACAATGCTTATAGAAAGCTGTATTCGTCAGAGGAGATCCATTCTACTTTCAATAATTTTACCTTTGAATTCAATAATTCTGAGGCATATTTAAAACCATATGATAAGGTGTTCCAATGTGCAGTTAAAATTTCCTATTTCAAGATATTGAAGCAATCAATACATACTCTATGAGAGGTTAACGAACTGCACATCAATAATCGGGGCTTACAACACAAACTGAAATTAGTGAAATACTATAAAGCCATTCTGTTTATCCAGGGTTGAACTCGTCAGTAGGATATTTTGACCGACCCAGCATACGACCTCAGTGTTTATCCACTTTCCGACTCCAAACAGATACTCACACCACACATAAGCTATTCTTACTGTTAACAGCACTTGGCAAAAAAGACCAGATTATGTACAATCTAAATGCCAAAGTTAACTGTCTTTTCCTTTGAGACCGAAAATACTCAAACTATAAAAACATGATCCACATTCATTGATCCAGTGTAGTGAAATAAAAGTTAAGCTCCATTCTAACATAAACAGTTCGACATTAACATACGTGAAATGCTCTTCCCAGACAAACTTAAGTAAATGTAACATTGATGAGTTCAATCCGAAAAGCGAAACGATTTTCTAAAGCAGTTCCGCGATTTACTTGTGAAGTTAGCGCCAAAGACTTTCTACATGAGGACAATTAGAGACTTACAATTAAATTAACCAGCTCCGACAACACAGTAGCAGCAAATTAATATACGCACAGTTCAGGTTTAAGAGACGTGTCTGACAAAAGTGAATACAAAATACCTAAAACTTCTCTATGCGCGTCGGTGGCACAGCGGTTATGACGCTCGCCGACCATGCACATGGTCCGGGGTTCGACTCCCGGTCGACGCACTCCCTCACCTCGCTAAGCCAGAAATAATCCTGGTAAAGAGGAAAGGTTGGGCATGAGGCTAGCAACCCCATCCTGTAAAAATAAACACTGCTACAGAAACTTCAAGCTACTAGCTTAAAGCCCTATGTTCCACTGGGAACGCGAAGGGAAAAAACTTCTCAATAATTTCTTTCCGTAGATTCCTCGTTGGTCTGCAGGGACAATCGAAACCACAACCACTGTGTATTTAAACCTTTATTTATGATTAGCAGTCACACCAGCATAACCTTAAAAACGTACTATTAGGTTTCATGATTAGTGAAACCGTACGTCTTTACGTTAGCAGTTGGAATGATAATAATTATTCGAAGAAAATGAGGTAGGACGTTGAATAACTTAAAGGGTTTTATGCTAAAAGTGGGAGTGACCATATGATAACCTTATGTTTAGCAGAGAAACATGGAAACAACTAGTAGGTTGGGCGCATGGTCAGGACATATGTTATGCCACATGACTAGGCTGGAACAAAAATTAAAGGTGCCCAAATCGAAAACTGGCATCGAATCATGAGGTATTTGACAGTTAGTTTGAGCAATGTATGAAGGTATACACTGAATGGTTGTGGTGCTCAGGAGGCTAAGAACAATCAGCTAGTCTGCTGGTGATATGGTTCAAAATCGCCTACATTGGCGTAGATGCATCCACTCCCTGTATTCTTATAGATTCACTCAGTCTTTATTATTGTCTACATGCTTATTCTTAGTCATGTACGTTCCCGTCTATTTTAGTTTTATGAACTTTTTTACTCGACCTTTGTGTGACATATGAAGTATGCTACACTTCTGCGCAAAGACCTTTGTTGAATACTAAGTCGCGGAGTCAGAGTGGTATTGTAGAAAGGAATAAATTAATTTTTCAGTAATGTATTAAGACAAATAATAAATAAATTCTACACACCACTCACGACAGAAAGCAATGAGCTGACAACCGGTATATTTGTGAAGACCAAAATTAATGTTGCTACTACAGTTTAGCAAACTACTGTTTTGACATGGACTGAATCCACACAGACCCAACTATGTGAATACCATAAACTCTAGAACTTCAAGAATGTTTAGGAAATCTATATTTTGTCAGCTTCGGTCATTTTATTCAACAAGACATTTCACTAGAATATTATCGTGATATGTCAAAATATTATTGGCGAAAAGAACAACTTGGTAGATAATGTACCTCATTCGCCTGGTCAACCAAAACCAAATGCCTGCCAAAACAGCATATTTCCACTACGCTAGAGCATGAGCTAGACTTGATAACTATAAAAGTGCAGAATTTAGATTCTCTCACAGAGTGGTCAACGATTGGAACTCCTTACCTGATTCAGTAGTATCAGCCCCATCGGTGAACGCTTTCAAAGAGAAGTTAGATCTCTGCAGAGATATACTTTGCAAGGATTAACACAGGCCACAAGAGCCTTCTATCCTTATCATCTGAATCTGAATCTAAAAGTGAGTCACCGTGGCTACATGCAGTCGTGTTTGTGTATAAACAACGGTTTTGAGACATTAACTTATATAGCTTCATAAAAATACCAATGTCTTAAACAAAACAATAATAATAAAACTAGCTACTGCGACTTTAGAAACGGATGTCCAGCCAAGCTTATATATTTTCTAAACAATGTGACTAAATATTTGGTAGCTTACCTTTCACTTTCATTACATATTCAGAAGGCTTGAACATGAACAGGGAGGCAGCGTCACTATTCAGTGGGTCTGTGGGATTTGGATAGGCCAGTAGTTGTGGCAGGAAAGATTCGAAAATGTTGGTCAAATCTAAGAAACGAAACCTTAGAAGATTGTAAATTACCATAGAGAGCAGACCACTGCTGATTTATGACATCGAGACAAACGGTTCCAGACCTAGGTGGAAATAATACTTGAAAGTCATAACTTACGCTTCGTCAATATTTGGGTGGAATATTTTATTCATAAACCCTATTAATCCAAGTTAACTTTTTTAGTACTACTTACCAATGGAAGGTGATTTGAAAGGATAACGTTCAGGAAGATCCACACGAACTTTCCAGATACCACCCTCATATGGAGCTGGAAAATAATAATGACGTTATTAATTAATTACTTTCTGGCGGGCCAAAGAATTTCACCATTAATTCGTTCAAGCCGCCTAATATAGTCACTTCGTACTTACTCTCGATTCTATAAGTAAATAAGTTGGTTTCATTATTAATAACTTACAGTTTAACTACATCTGTATCCATCCTTTTCTTTCCTGGACTGGGTGACGACATTTTCAAACTCTTAATAGTAGGAACTTGCGCAAAAACTTTGTTCGGGTTTGGATCAGCTGTGATCGGAAAGTGAAACTACGACAATATCGACGCGAATTCCACTCTCACTAACTGCTGATGTGCAATTTATCTACTCTGAAATGGTCCCCTTGAAATACCAGAAGCTTTTACACAACCAGAAACGCAGAAGCTCAACCTTAACTACACAGTGACGCTATGAATGAGGCAGTCGTTATGACGTTATCGCAGCTGATTGCAGGAGTTTCAAGGTCGCGACACCAGGTTCCCCTGTTCTATAATACTAACAAAATTTATTGTTTCTTGCCTTATAATAAATAAAAAACATAGATATCCCTTTAAAATTATTTAGAAGTGACCTTGTCAATTGAACGCATCAGCTAAAAGCAAACGCGCGTCATCAAAATGTCACCTTAAGATTCAAAAATTATTACTGTTGTAATAGTATAAAATCCTGTATCAACAGATCGCTAAGCAGCGTAGGTTTTCTTTCCATTCAGGAGTCGATTTTCCACTTCTGAGACTTGATAAAGAAAAAGACTAGATTACTGATAGGTTGTAATTGTACTGAATGTATGTTTTTGCAGATGTTATGTTATGCTTTCATCTCTAATGTAAATTAGTCTGTATGCTACAGAGTGATGTTGGGGATGCGAAAATTTGACTTACAAATATGGATGTTTAATCAAATAGTGAACTTTCCAAGCTCCTTCCTAAACAGTAACCAACGATCGACTCTAATCTGTCCACTCTTCTGTAAACTCCTGTTCTACAATTTACATCAATTTATCAGGCCTGAAAAAATTTGTATCCACTCTTTCCTGCTCCAACGCCTTTACAGAGACCACTCTGACCAAATCTTCCCTGTCTAACCAGACGATGGCATTTCTAGAGTAAATGATAATAGATTCCATAGTACGAAATCCAACTGACGGAAGTGTAGTATTTTGAACCGGCACTCTGACATGCAGCTGGGTCCTCATTACGAGGTAATAAAATTTCCAGGCAGACGGAGGTAGTCTGGAGGAAGCGCCTCGGAATATTTCTACCAAAGGTGCAGTTACCCGCACTGATACCCATGGATAGGCAACGAATATAGGGGAGTTGGACGTGGATGGCTTAGCCGACCGTGAGTAGCGCTCTAAATTCCTTGGACTGCTTACGTCCGGCACGGTGTACCTGAAGCGGACTGTTTTTCGATTTATAGATGCATGCACAACGATTCCATCTGTGCAACCACGTCACAACGCACCCCTCCCTCTGTCGGCCAACCATGCCACTGTACCCCTGCAACTAACAGGTAGAGACGTAGAACCAAAACTCTATCAAACTCTTGCCACCGCACGAGTTTTGACACCAAGACGCGCCATTGTGGACACAACTGCATGTTCCAGCAAGGTAATTAAAACCTTTGTAATTTGTCTACGTATTCCCCCAATGGTGAGCCAACAATAGCACCGGGGGACACAAACGTAATGTCTAAAAACTACTCTTGGCTGCTGGTGCTCCAGTGTCCTTCCTCAGGAATCCCTCCAACTGTCGATTACCCCAGTGTCAGTTTCAGCACCCGCTTATACTCTCTTGATGGCGGCTGGAGGCTCTAAGCTAGAAACTCATGATAATATGAATCTTCCGGTCAGCCTTGGAGAACTGAATGTACCTTAGGGTCCTATCGTCGGCGTGAGCTACCTTAAGTCACGTACCACTTTTACGGAAGCTTCCCATTCGCAGGACAGAGCTGAATTGGTCTACTTACCCCTCCATTTCACTCAACAACCAACCTGTATTGCGTCAGACTTCTCCCTACCCTCCATCCGAAATCGAAGTACTGTTAATCCATCTCCCCTTACAGCATCCGTTGGCAAAGGGTAACACTAGAGGATGAGTTTTCGGAAGTAGTCGATGAAAGGGATAAACTGGGATGCACTAATTTTTTGCGACAGTGAATGATACTGGCAGTCAATCCCCGTATGTCAGCCTCCCAGACAGATTCCAGTTAATTATCAGCCCCAGCTAGGTATGTAGACACACTGCAATCTATGGCCCTTACCGAAGTAATAAATAACGGTCAAGAGCGCGTTAGTGCATGTACCAGCTGTAAAGTTAACAAACGTGAAACATGTTATTCCAGTTTGAGAAAAGAAATATTCGTCTTCAATATTCGAGCATTTTAGGTATTATCTTCTTGGCTCTCCTCTTGTGGACACACTCACCACCATTCTTTGCAGCGGATCTGAACATTTCGCGAACCAGAAGACCAGGTTTGCAGGAACGCTTGGTATATTTTGAATACACGCATGAGTATCTATCAGGGCCTTGACATATGAAAACATATGTACTAATTCGGCTGCAGACTTTATTTTCTCCGGTGACTGCTCTACCTAATACATGAATGGATGCTGCTTAGACACCGCTGCAGACCGTTAGTGTCAACACTCAGCTTATGACAACTTTTTGGAAATGATAAAATGTAGAATAGAGAACTAAATAGTTTATCTGCGACAGCACGGTGCATATGTAAAAAATGGGGCCGGCTACGGCCGATCAACGACGTTCCCTGCATACCGAGGCCGTTCTCGCCATCTCACCCTCTAGCCCCACGCGCATTATTGCGAGAGGTGATCAGCAAAGTGACCATCAACTTGGTTATGCAGGTCAGCGCCAAACAGATAATACCGTCCATCAACAACTTTGGTGGCCACCGCCTCACCATGACGTCCCTGGATCTTGCATCGATCGAGATGTATGTATACAAAAGGGGCAGGTATCACAAATACCGCAGGCGCCTTGAGCACGCGTGGCAATAAACGCCCCGAGAAACCTAGTGGGAATAGACATCATTGGACCAGTTCAAGCACTGCGATAAGGTGATCAGTACTTTCTGGTCATGACCGATCATTTTATCGAATGATGCGAACCTGAGACAACACGAGGTACTCTGACTTCAGGTCGTGCATTCATTGACACGTTGGTATCTCGTCTGGCTTCACACTCTGTTTACATTCTGACCGAGGCAGTGCTTTTGATGGAAAATACTTATGGTCATTTCAAAGCATGTATATGCCCAAGCTCTGTTGATCATTTTTATTGTTGGTGCGAAGCAGTATAGCCTCACTATTCTTGTCTTCTTGGGTTGCGGTATCGTATTGCGCCTTTTGGGATCATGCAGCGTGAGTTGTAGTCTTTCTTACAACCGTAGCCAAGTAGTTTTGAGGTAAAATATCGTTGGATACTTTCCATCCATAGCTTGTCACGTGTGCGAGTGCTGCTTATAATAAATGGACAGTATTCTAGTAGTGGTCTGACACATGTTTTGTAAAGAATTAGCTTGGCTTCATTGTCGTGAAAGTTCCTGAGTATGCATCCTAAGAGCATCCTCGATTTTCTAGTCTGTGATGCTACTTGCTCAGAGAATGTCAAGTCACTAGAATACCTCAGGTCTAGGTCAATGACACTTCGGAGTCTGGTTAGTTTAGCAGATTGAAGCGTTAATTTCAGGTGAACTGAGGGTGCGCCGAAGCAGATCCAGCCACATTTTTTCAGATTAAATTGGAGATTCCACAAGGACTACCAAGCAGTCACTTTATCTAATTCCTTCTGCACTACATTCTCGAAGTACCCTAAGTCATCACATTGGAATGAATAAGCTACTTTTAGGTCATCTGCAAAGATGAATGGATTCCCGTGTGAGAAGCAAGCGTATATGTCACTGATGTATAGTGTAAATAGGAGGGGTCCAATGACACTACCTTGTACTACACCAGAAGTAATTGGGCTAGGTTTTGAGGTTACAGACCCGAGTTTAACTATATGGGACCCGTTGTTAAGGGATGATTTAAGCCATCCTAATAATGGGTCACGTACTCCTATGGAGTTCAGCTTATTTGTTAGCGGTAGATGGTCAACACGATCAAATGCCTTAGAAATATCAAAGTAGATGACAAGTACTAGTTGCCGTGTTGGTTCGGACTTATAATATTGCGGCTAAGCATATGTTTGATTAAGTTATCTTTAACTAGTCTCTCCATGATTCTAGATGCTATAGGTGTGATATTGATCGGCCGGTAGTTACTGACTTCAGTTTTCGAGCCAGATTTGTGTTTAGGCATAATGAATGTTGTCTTCCATATGTCAGGGTAAGTTTGAGTTTCTAGGGACATTGTGAATATTTTAAGCAGCAGTAGAGGAATGTCAGGGCCACCATATTTATAGAAGTAAGATGATATACCGTCGGTACCGAAACCTTTTGAACTTTTGAGGGTTCTTATAGTTTGGTTAATATTAGCGTAAGTGAATTCAACAGTGCTAATTTGGTTTGGTGTGAGTGGAGATGGAGTTTGTGCCATATTAGTAATAGGGTGTATATCGAGTAGCTGGACTGAGGGCTTAAGGTAGTTTTGTTGAATAGTTCACATATGTCTGCAGAGTTAGTGCATAGCCTACCTTTGTCTATGAGGAGAGAAATGCTGTGATTTTTGCGATTCATTCGCTTCCTTAAGATTTCTGTGAGTGCATACACTCTAGCAGGACTGGCTACTGCGATGCGTTCTTCCTTTCTCATACGGAAATCTCGAGCTTGTGAGATGGAGCTAAGGGTGTTAAGTATTAGACCTAGAGTGCCAAAGTCGTGGTGTTTGAAGTAACTTGTTGAGAGTCTCTTCAGTTTCTTACGATCCTTTGGTTTTATGAATGACTTTCTGTGTGGGGAAACCTTTAGTGTTTGGAGTGGAATGACAGCATCTAAGCATGTGTTTGAGTTATGGTAGAAGATGGTTAGGGCTTCTAGAGGTCATCAGTAGTGAAGTATTCATCCCATTCGGAGGATCTTAGCATTGATTCTACGAGGCCCAGTTTGCCTTACTATAGTTCCTATATATTACTTGTTGTGAAGTGGAGGTATGAGATGCATTGCTACTCAGCGGAATTGGCAGTGCACATATCACTGTTTTGTGGTCGCTCCCTGGAAACTCAGAACCTACTAG